ATTGAATTATTTTATTTTTGAATCATTGAATCATCGAATCATTTTATTTTTGAATCATTGAATCATCGAATCATTTTATTTTTGAATCATTGAATCACTGAATCTAGTGTCGACTTGGCCGGACCGGAAGTGGTGTTGCTCCGGGTCGGAACACTTCCTACTTCCGCAAACACCGCTCCCTCCGTGCAGCAGCTTCTGTCCGGTTATCGCTTCATCAATGCGGCGCTTCGCTGCTGCCTCCGGGTTCCGGTTCAAACTCTCCTCGGTGCGGACATTTATGACTGATTGATCGGCGTCATGACGGCCAACAGCCGCTGTTCCGCTGCGGAGCCTCCGGGCCTGGAGACCCAGCGGCGGGAGATCGAGTCTCTGCTGCGGGAGTGTGAGCTCTGTGCTGGGGACAGTTGGTGAGAGTCCGCCCGCCACACACACACACACACAGACGGAGCTAACAGTTAGCATCACACGGTGGTTTCACGGTTATTACCGGGGTAGCCGGCGGAGGCAGGCCGCTGCTGTGTCGGCGGGAGCTCGTGGGGACGTTTTAACGGCTCCGTGTTAAACGTTAAGCCGCCGCCGACGCATTTGTTTCTGCGTGAGAGGCGGACGGAGCCCGGACCGTTAGCCACCGATGCTAACGTTAGCCTGTCAACCAGCTGCAGAGGCGTTCAGGCTCCACTCGTAAAACTTCCGCTCAGCAGAAGTGAAGCTCAGTGTTTGTCCCAGATTCTGATTCACTTCATCCAGCTGCTGTGTCTCCAAACTGAACACACATTGAAATGTCTCGTGTCTCGACTGTTTCTGTCTGTGACGCGCTGATGTCCACCAGCTTGTGTTCAGGGTGGACGTCAATTTATCAAACTATCCAGAAGTGAAACCTAAATGTTGCAGATACGAACGCTGCCATCTTGCTTTTATGACGTAGTTAGTCGTCAGAGGTTGTGCAGTGTGACCCTGCTGTCAAACTCTCACAGGTGGAAACAACCTCGTGAGTGCACGTGATTACAAAACAGAATGAAAAACAACATTTGGATGGAAGATACTTCAGACCGTTGGAGTGGAGGAGCGTGGTGATGTAAAGTGTAATGTGTGTTTGCATGTAGGTACGTGGTGGAGCATCGCTGGTTCGAACAGTGGAAGGAGTTCGTGGAGACTGGAGACCAGAACTCGTCGTCCTTCCCCGGTCAGATCGACAACACCGAGCTATTCGAGGGTCAGTGAACGTTTCTTCAGACTCGTTGTTTTTGCTTCAGTTTTAAAATCCAGACATTTGTTAACGTTTCTAACTGGAGGAGTGTTTCCTGTTTGTAGATCTGGACTCGTACCACCTGAAGGAGCGTCTGGTGGAGAATGAAGACTTTGTGTTGGTGCCGGCTGAGGCCTGGCACAAGCTGCTGACCTGGTACAGCATGGTGGTCGGTCAACCGCCGCTAGAACGCAAGGTGACTCCACTGCACGCCAGATACACTCAGTCTGTGCTGAGGTTCAGTCTGTCGAGGCTCAGATGTGACTTACAACTTCCTGCTCTCTGTGTGTGTGTGTGTGTGTGTGTGTGTGTGTGTGTGTGTGTCAGGTGGTGGACCTTCCCAGCACTCTGAAGGTGGAGGTTTACCCCGTTGAGATCTTTCTCTGTCTCCATAGCAACATGGACAACCTCATCACGGCACAGTTCAGCCGTGCAGACAACATACGTGAGTTTTTGTGCAACTTTTTTTCACGATTGATTGATGTTTTAAGTTTACTCAGCTTCCAGCTCCTCAAATTTCAGTAATTGGTAATTCAGTAATAACAAACGTGACAAACTTGAGTTTCTAAGAGATTCAAACTGCAGACACTAATCTGTGATGTGGATCCATCTTGAACAAAAGTTTATGTAAAAAAAGTTGTTTATGAAAGAAATGAATGAAACCATGTGTAGCTTTAAAATCCAGCGACAGCTTTACTCCGAAGTTTCACTGAAGTTTGAATAGTTTCTATAAACAGCTGGAATCATCCGACCTTTGTTGCATCTGTAGCTGAGTTTACGTTCTGTTTTCAAACCTGGAGGAATCTGTGGTTCTTATCAAGATAACAGCATTTTATTTTAGATCCGTTTTTTTTTTCAACTCTATATTTGAAGCAGATGAAAGTTTTAAGTCGCCTGGATCTGAAGTTTTCAGAGAAACAAGCCGAGCGAACGTTAGCGGCAGCTCGACTCCTCAGAGAAACACTGAGTTTCACATGAAGCTGTTAATTCAGAGTTTTTACTGGAGTGAATCAGCTGATGTTGTGTTGGAGGACGAGACGTCTGAGGAGAATTCAGATAAAAACCTGAACCATCAACACAGAAAGAATCTTAACCAGAAGCAGACTACAACTCCCATCATCCCTCACTGCTTCAACAAATTGTAGTTTGTTACTGTTGTTTGATTGAGGCGCCCCCTAGTGGATTGTACACGTGTGTTTAAATTGTGTTTGCTCTCCTCTGAACATTTTGTCTTGACGTTTGTGTGTAGACACGATTCAGAAGGCGATGTGTCAGGCGTTCTCGGTGCCTCCGGGCTCAGAGTGTCGTCTGTGGATGAAGAGTTCGGACAGCAGCTGCGAGCGTCTCAGGAACTTGCACGTGAGCGTGCTGGACGCCTGTTTGAGCTCAGGCATGGTGAGAATGTTTAACACACAAATGAAATGTCAGTGTTGTGTTTGTTCAGTAATTAAATGAGACAAAGGTTAAAGTTTCAGAGACAAACTTCCTCGTAGAAGAAACTATCACTTATAATAACAACCAGACACCTGATGAGCTGGAACATGCCTCCCTGTGTGTGTGTGTGTGTGTGTGTGTGTGTGTGTGTGTGTGTGTGTGTGTGTGTGTGTGTGTGTGTGTGTGTGTGTGTGTGTGTGTGTNGTGTGTGTGTGTGTGTGTGTGTGTGTGTGTGTGTGTGTGTGTGTGTGTGTGTGTGTGTGTGTGTGTGTGTGTGTGTGTGTGTGTGTGTGTCAGACGGTGATCATGGAGACGAGGAATGCTGACGGCACCTGGCCGAGCTCCAGGCCTCAAATCATGTAAGAACAGTCTCTTCGTTTATTTGATTTCTTATTTTTAACATTTCACGTCTTTGTCTTTCTTTTTCTCTCTCTCCCTTTCTGTCGGCCATCCTCTCTTTCATCCTCAAACTCTTCCCACCCATTTTCCTTCCTGTCTGGTGAAACTCTCTTCTTCAAATAGCTTTCAGTTTCTGTTCTCTGTCTCCTTTGCGTTGGAGCGTGTCGGAGTATGAGCGACATTCAGGCGATATAGAGATTTGTGTTCTTCCAGCTTCACGTCCGTCACGTGTTAGAAACCTCAGAGACACGTCCACTCGCTCACTGAGAAGGTTCCAGATGTTTCACTAGAGGCTGCAGGAGAAGATCCAGAACACGTCCAGAGACACTGACTCAGACATTGGTTCTCACACACAGAACATGTGAGGAACACGTCAGGAACATTGTTAATACGTCTGTTCAGTTCTGAAAACAGCTTCATGGTTTATTAACAATTGTCCCGAGGACTTTTAGAAAAAGACATGCATCACAATAATCAGGTGGTTAATTGTCTTCAGTATAAAACTAATTCAGATGATTGTATTAATTTAGTCATGTACTAATACACAACATACTTTTATAAGAAACAAATGTAAAGGTTTAGATTTCGGAGGTGAGTGTTGGTCTCTGGATGTTGTTTGTTTTTCGTCCGCTGCCGTCGCTCCCTCGTCCTGTGAAGAAACGTTAAAGCCGGAGCGGTCGACCGCCTCCATCCGATCTGAATCTGCCGCTGACGTAGTGTTCTGGTTTTTCAGGAGGAACTCTGTGGAGGAGCAGGACTCGTACCGAGGACAGTCTGGAGTCTGCGGCCTCACCAACCTGGGCAACACCTGCTTCATGAACTCTGCTCTACAGGTTTGTGCACACACACACACACACACACACACACACACACACACACGCACACACATGCACACACATGCACACACATGCACACACACACTACAACTTTAGCTTTTTCCAGCTGAAGAGCTTTGCATCATGTCCGCTCTGCTTCAGGATGTGTGTTCACAGCGTTTCCTTCACTGATGTCTCCTCTCTCTCTCCCTCCCTCCCTCTCTCTCTCTCCCTCTCTCTCTCTCTCTCCCTCTCTCTCTCTCTCTGTAGTGTCTGAGTAACACGCCTCCTCTGACCGAGTACTTTCTGCAGAGCTCCTACCTGGAGGAGCTGAACTTTACAAACCCTCTGGGAATGAAGGGGGAGATCGCCGAGGCCTACGCTGACGTCATCAAACAGATGTGGTCGGGGAGGCATTACTCTGTGGTGCCACGTGTCTTCAAGGTACAGACACCAGGGACGTCCCCCGGACACTGGTGTTGAAATTCAATGATTCTGACACCGCAGCTAAAGACAGGAAACAACAGTCGCGTAATATTCCAACACAACGACTTGGTTTGTTTTACTTGAACCAACACGACGACAGATCGATGGAGTGGAAATAATACTTTTAAAATTCTGTTTTATTCTGACAGAGCAGTGACATCGTGAGCACCCAGCTCTCATGAGGTCACCACATGAACATAGACAAGTTAATGTTAGCACGAACAAGATCAAGTTAACATGAAGTTAACATGAACCTGAACGACACGTGAGCCTGTGTGAATATTATGTCGAGCGTTGCTACAACAGATGCTCGCGGTTGCAACTGTGTTATAACCTGTTGCTTCTAAACTGAATAGTTTTGATGTGAAATGTTCACATGTGAGAATTTGTTTAACTCTGCGTGTGTGTGTGTGCGTGTGTGTGCAGACAAAGGTCGGCCACTTTGCGTCTCAGTTCCTCGGGTACCAGCAGCATGACAGTCAGGAGCTTCTCTCCTTCCTGTTGGACGGACTCCATGAAGATCTGAACCGAGTCAAAAACAAAGAGTACATCGAACTGCGGGACGCTGAGGGACGACCTGACCAGGTGAGCGGCTCCGGCTGCAGCTCATCAGTCCATCATGTTTGTGTCTGTTGATATGATCTGATTGTTTTTTTACTTCTATCGAGCTCCAAATTTAAGTAACTCTCGTTGTTCACGCCACAGGAAGTGGCAGAGGAGGCGTGGCGTAACCACCGCCGGCGGAACGACTCGGTGATCGTCGACACATTCCACGGTCTCTTCAAGTCCACACTCGTCTGTCCAGAGTGCCACAAGGTCTCTGTGACCTTCGACCCCTTCTGCTACCTGAGCGTCCCACTTCCTGTCAGCAAGGAGCGCGTCATGGAGGTCTTCTACGTCTCTCTGGACCCTTACGCCAAGCCCGTCCAGGTAACCATCTTGATCTGGAGTCAAACGTCTCCCTGTTTGACTGTGTTGACCTGAACACTGAGGGGAGTGTGAAGTGTTAACTTGGCTCTTGTGTGTTTGCAGCATCGTGTTGTGGTTCCTAAAGCAGGAAAAGTGTCGGACCTCTGCTCTGCTCTGTCAGAGATGACCAGCGTCCCCCCCACACAGGTCAGTGTTCATACAACTATCGTTTTTATCAACACCGCGTTTCCTCGGGTCGCCTGCTGGTGGCGTCATATCCTCTTTGTGCACGTGTGAAGTTTTACAACACTTTTTAGATCTTTCTGGTTTTTGACTCTTAAGTTCTGACCAGGAGACGTTAACTGCAGTGAAAACTACAACTCCCATGATCCTTTACTGCTTCAAGACGTCAACAAACTGTCTGTTGTGACTGCTTACATTGACAGGCCCCCTGGTGACACTTTAAAGACTGTACGTGTGTTTCAGATGGTGGTAGCGGATGTTTTCAACCATCATTTCTTCAAGATCTACAACGCTGACGAATCTCTGAGCTGCATTCTGGACCGAGACGACATCTTTGTGTGAGAAAACACTTTTTTAATTCACCTTTTCTTGTTTGAAGTTTGAGCTTCACAAGATATTTCCATAGCAACAGGGCCGAGTCATTTCAGAGGATTCTCCAGACTAAAGCCGACCTGCTGTTCACGTGTGTGTGTGTGTGTGTGTTCAGGTATGAGCTCAGCGTGCAGGAGGAGCAGCAGGAGGAGCAGCAGGAGGAGCAGGTGCTGCTCGCCCTCTACCTGAGGGAGCGCTCTCACTACAGAGACTACGGCTCCGGCAGCAGCTCGTACGGCACGTCGCTGTTCGGACACCCGCTGCTGCTCGGCGTGCCACGCAGCAGCTGCAGCCAGGAGGCGCTCTACAACCTGTTCCTGCAGAGACTCGCGTGAGCAACACACAGGAAACTCGTCTCTGTTCTTAACCAATCACAGTGAAGACGCTCGCTGCAAATTGAAAACATGTTTTTAATCCTTTGACCTCAGCAATAGAAACGTTTTTATAGTTTAATAGTGGTCTGTTGAAGGAACATGTATTTATTTGTGTGTGTGTGTGTGTGTGTGTGTGTGTGTGTGTGTGTCTGTGTGCACACGCAGGCGCTATGTGCGACGTCCCGATCCTTCTGAGGAGTTGGAGGAAGAGGAAGAAGACGACGATGAAGAGGAGCTGTACAAGACTCAGACCAACGGCATCAGTGACGGTATCGACTCTTCAGATAATAATAATGATAATTATTCTGTCTCCACTGGAGACGTTTTAAAGAAAGTGTCAATAAACAGATTTGAAATGTTTCAGATTTAGAGTCAAGAGAAAGAAACAGTCTCCAGACGTTCGTCTCTGTTTCTCAATTAGAATCTTTATTCTAGAAATCAACAAACGTTTCTGCTGAATCTTCATTCAGAATAAATTATCTGTTTGTCATCTGTTGATTCTCAGATGAGCAGCAGGAGGAAGCAGAGAAAGTTGATCCCTCTCAGACTCAACTCTCTGAAGATGCCGCGGCAAACAGCCAACCGGACGCCACCGCTAACGCCGACCCCCCCCCTGAACTCAACCACACGCAGGAGACGACCAACGGGTCAGGGAGCCAGACTGAGCTCCTCACCAGCGCCGAGGGTAACGACGCCAACTGCTCCAGCAATGAGAACTCCTGTGGAAACCCGAGCAGGACCGCCGACGCCACCTCGGAATCGCCGGCAGAACAAACGCCACGGCCCGGTGAGGAGGAGAGAGAGGAGGACAAGCAGGAGGAGGCGTGTTCTCCCAGCCCGCTGACCGTCGAGCAGCCGACCAAGAGGAGGGCGTGTCGCAAGAGGAGGAAGAGTTTGTTCACCATCCAGGCCGTCAACTCCAACGGGACGACCGAGAGAGGGTCGGGAGAGGGAGGGAGCGCCGTGTCCTTCAGCTGTAAGTCTGAACACACGCACACACGCACACACACACACACACACACACACACACACACACACACACACA